TTTATAAAGATTATTGTACCATGATTTGTTTGGCACGCAGTCTGTCCTCAGACAAGTGTGAAATATATAAATATATAAACATAGTCATCCAACTCATTTGAATGAAAAATTCAAATTTTGCCATTGGAAAGCGAAAAACAATTCTCGCCATCTCGTGTACCCTCTTCATCTTTTCATGTTTTCTTCTTCTACTACCATTTCGATGATATATCTCTATCGAAATGGGTAGCCAAAAGACTAACTAAAACCGCCACACGAAGGTGAATGATTAATGGCTATACAGACTGAACTGAACTGAACCCCATACTTTTACTACCGATATCACAATGGACTCCACCCTGTGAAGCTTGCCGATTCGGTCGCTGCTGTGCATTCACTGGTTCACGAGACCCGGTTACATAGGAGAAGTCACCCTTGACCCAAATGAAGCTTACGGGTGCCTGGGTTGGTACTGCCCTCTGGTGAACAGTTTAAAGTTTAGTTTATCGTTATCTGCATTCCGTTGACGGTATACGCTCTCGATTCTCATTTTGAACTGGTCTCATCAATGATCACCATTCGTGGTCAGCTGCTATTCGGGTTGTCGGCACCATGGCACAGCTTTGGCAAAGTAAAGGTTTCGACATTAACCCAGTGTAAATTATTTCTTACATCTATTTATTAAAGTTAGAAGGCGCGCGTTAAATCTCACCCGTGATAAGCAACCTTGTGTTCCCAATCAGGAAGTATCAGGCATACCATTGAAGTAATAACATCGCTGACCAACTGCGGCTTCCTCTTTGATGGAAGCTTTCTGAACAGGAAGACAATTTGGCACCTCCAGAGGTTAACTTTCAAAATCCCGATTCGTATGTCTTCAAGGAGCTCAAATAAACTGCACTGACGTTTCCCTACGGTGATCTGTATATCGCTTTTCCAGCCCTGATCAGATCTACTTCTAGTTTTTGGCCTCCAAAAGCCTTAGTGTGATCGGGGATAGGTTTCTCGGGTCGTGGGTGGTTACCTTTCGCATGCAACTCACAAAAGGCTCCTTTAAGACCAAGTGTTGCAAACAGCCTCTGCCGAGGAAGCCCTACTCACTGCGTTCAGATGGTAGGTGTTTTCCCACCAAAGTGAGAGGACGAAAAGCCAATATCCGGGGCATAACCGGAACGGTGAACCACTGGCAGTTCACCTAAAGGAGTTGGTTAAAATCGCTGATTCCAAAACAAACAACAAGAGGTGTATGAACCACATTCACTCGCACCTTGATTGTAGAAGTGGTCACCCGCTCGATTGGGCAGTGAGGTGTATTGGCCACCTTGGACGTTTGATCCCATCCAAAGGGCGTAGGATCCGATGAACTGGGCACCTGCCCCTAATGGACTGCGATTTTCACACACCGCCCTGCTGCCTTGCGGGTCCGACTCTAGCTATTCAAAGGCTCCGGTTGTCAAGACCCTAACAAAATGCACCTGCCTGGCCTGGGCAACCTGATAATATTCCGCCCATAAACAAATCATGGAACTTTCTCTTTGTATAACGATCATTGTACTATCATTTGTTTGGCACAGTCCGGATTCACAGTTGATATAATGCTAATCTGAGTAAACCGCCATCCACTTAAAACGGTACGCCGTCGCCCAGAAAATACATTATCATCCGAGATCATCTTGCCTCTGCGTTATTCGAAGAGGTAACACAAAAGGAATCAAATGCTATCATTAGCAAAGGTCCTAATCAACCTTAGGGACGTAGTAAAGGATAAAAAGGTAGAACTAAGGTAATCCCGATTCTAAAGTAACTTATCATCAAACTAGAACACCATACGGTGGTTTATCTACAGTAACATAAGTTAAATTTGGAGACTGTAAGCAGTTGTCTCCTTTTCGAGTATCCCAGGTTGATACCGACGTCACCTTCCGTACTTACTTACCTACTTACTTTTACCTTACTGCGGCTGGCTCCTTGGAAAGAATAAACCGGCTTCAGGCATGATTATGATCATGATCATAGAGTTCCATGAGAGTTTGGTACGAGAGACGTCCCCAGCATCACTCGGCGTTTTATTTTATCTTGAGGGCGTACTTACATGAACGAATAGCTTTCATCGCATTTTCAAGGGGATCAAAGGCGAATACTGACCAAAAAGGTCAAAGATTCTCTTAATGCTTACTACAGGGACGTCGAATTTAAGGCAACTACGAGACAGAGGGCTCTATAACGCAGCCGAAGGCATCCCCACCACACAAAAAACGAAAAGGCTACGGTTCTGAGAGATCATTTTAAGTATGCACATTCAGGACGAGGACTTATTACAAACCGCCTAGCGGCCGGTGGGATCCACGCTAATAGGGGAAATCCACTTCTAACTGGGCGTGTAAAATACTCCAAATAAATTAGATAGGAACAAAGCAATGGGACCGAACGATACACACCAGGCTCTGTTTAAGTCTCTGGGGAGTGTTGGCAATCTCCCTAGCGCACAATTTTAGCCAACCCGTGGAGATTGCCATCT